ACTTCCAGGAGTGTGCTGGTAAGCCCACTCTCAGAAAAGGAAAGAAGAAAAAGAAAAGCCCTTGTTTGTAGTGTTTCCTGATTTCCATGGTGTAAATACTCCCATCGTGACCAATTTCAAGCATTGGCTCTCCCTGGAGCCCTGGGAAGGGAAGACCCTGGGGGGGTCACACTCCTGGGCTGCACCTGGACTATGACCTTCCCAAAGTCACACACTGTCACACACTGTACTGATGCACTAGCATTAATCATTACTGCTGTGCGCATCACAAGCAAGCAATATATGTCTCTAGCTGAGATTTATTGACTGCAAAATAGTCTGCCTCAAAGGGCTGTGTCCCTCATGGGTGCTCAACAAATGTGGGCCTCCAGCCCAAGCCTCCTCCCTCAGAGGCCTGGGGTTGAAGGAGGTGACTTCTAAGGTTCTTGGGCCTCCATTTGTTCATTCATTCATTCATTCATTTGGTAGATATTTCCTAATTGCCCTCTCTCTCTGCTGGATACTCTGCTGGGGGCCAGGGAGACAGTGAGGAACAAGCAGACACAGTCGCTGCCTTGTGGAGCTCACAAACCTGGCATTAAGACAGCCAGTCCTGAGAACTCGGGACCAGAACGCTGGTCCTGGCTCCATCTCCAACTTACTGTGTGGACTTGAGCAAATCACTTACCTCCTTTGGCCTCGGTTTCTTCACCTGTAAAATGGAAGAGTTGGACTTGATGTTCACTAAAGTCTATCCCAGCTTTGACCTTCTGTGGCTCCAGGGAGGGAGGAGAAGCCACATGAGGAACATTTGAAGGGACTAGGAATGTCTCCATAGGAGAACAGCAGATGGGAGAGCAGATTAGACCCTTGAAGGTCTGGCATGAGTCCCATAAAAGAGGAGTGGGCTTGTTTAGTGTGGTCCCTGAGGGGAGAACTCATGGGTGGAAATTGTAATAGGGGTGGGTCACCTTGACTCCGTCTTGAAATATATTGAGCACAATTGGAGCTGTCCAGCCATGGGTGGGTCACCCCGTGAAGGAATGAGCACTTCCTGTTCGATTAGAGGCTGAAGACCACCTGTCCCGGCCACATAGAAAGGATTTCCGGCAGTGAGGTCATGATTGTAAAACCCCAAAGCCATCAGTTCTGAAGGAACCAAAAGCAGTCATTTGGTCCATCGTGCTATGTGGAAGAAGCAAATAAGATGCAAAAAGATTACAACTCCATGAAAAGCAAGTAGATGCCTAAGGAAAAAGACCAGAAGGAAAACTATCAAAACACAAATAATGGTTGGATTAGGATCGAGGATTATGGTGATTTATTTTCTCTAGTTTCTTATTTTCCAAAGTTTGGTAGGGTGGTGATGTTGTTTTTGAAGCAAACGCAGTTTTATTCTTTATAGAAAGTCATCTAGTCCAACCCTCATCCCAGGGCAAGAAGCCACCCTGTAACCACTAAACGCTCTCCAGTCCCCACGTTCTGAGGGGCTCACCCGGGCCTGACGCCAGGGAGGTGGGAAGAGAGTGGCGCTGGTGGATGCCTGCTGAGTGCCAGACCCTGGGCTGGGTACCAAGCCAGAGACACAGCCCCCGCCCTCCAGAAGCAGGGCCTGCCTGGCACCTTATCCTACTCAGTCTCTGAAACAGCGGTGGAGGTGGGTCCTGTGTTGTTAGAGCAGGAGGTGGCCGAGCCAGGACTGGGACCCAGGTCTGGGGGTCTCCACTGCACGTAGCTGGAATAGGAATTCAGGGCAAGCAGGCAAGCTGCCCATTCAATCCCATAATCTGATGGAATAAAGGTCAAAGGCCCAGCAGGGTTGGCAACCATGGGACAGAGTCTAGCTGAAGAGGAGGTGGGTTTTCCTGTGTTCAGCTATGGGTCTCTCTCTCTCTCTCTCTCTCTCTCTCTCTCTCTCTCTCTCTCTCT